GTCCAAGATAGTATGTCTGGTCTCCTTCATTTCAGTTAATATTTAGGGGTAAAACAAATTAAGTACAATAAATACAATAAAGAAGGCTCTGTAAAGGACACAAACTAGGCATTCAGTGTTCACGGTTCCAAGACTGGCTTGCTTCTGAGTGAGGGCTTCATTATCCTGTGATGGCAGGAAAAGTAGGAGCAAGGTGCTACTAGAGGCATTGGATTAAGTGCAGGGATATGAAATAATGCCACAGGCCCTGAGGGGAGGGAGCAAGATCAAGGGAGGGTACAAAAGGATTACGGAGATCATTGCCTGGTCATGGGGACTGTGGACCATGGTGAGTATTTTGAACTTCATTCTAAGAGGAATAGGAAGTCATCTGTGCCTGAATCAGGGTGGGTGTCATGGGTTGGCTCCTCGTATAAACTTTCTTCATTGAACTGATTTTGTTTTAACCCAACTGTTATGTTGTTCTCCCATTTTCATTATATCAAGGTCTCTAATTTTGTTGGACCATTCATTTAATGAAGACTTTTTGTGTTCCTTGTGTTACCACGTTTCTCTGATTCTTCTTGACCCTAGTAGCTTGAAAAGGTGCATGCACATTTGAACAAACCATTACTTCTTCCAGACTTAAGGACTTATTTGAGGATGGGAAAGCTTTTTCCTGCAGAGCAGTATGGGAGGACATGCTGACCTAGTATAGCACTGGTCTAGTGGCCTGGAGCAACATCTTTATTATCTGAGGTTGAAGGATGCATTGCTTCTCTTTTAGCAGGCACAACTGTTGGTAACATGAGAACCTTCATGGTCATTGGTGGCTAGAGCTATGGGAAATCTAGAGTTGCTATGAGGACTAGCTGGGTCATAGATAGTGCCTCTAGATCCATGCAGAGAAGACTAGAAAAGGTAAAAGACATATGGGCCAGGCAGTGTGCACACTTCGGTGCAGTGTCAGCTGCAGGCATGTGCAATGTAGACAGGCTACCTGTGGGCAGAGAAGTAGTAAGGAAAAGCTAGGACCAAGGACAGAAGCCAGGGCTGGCAAAGAGTGCCTATGAGGTGGGACCTAGTTTGTTAAAGCACAGGACTGTAAGATCAGATCTGATTGTAGACACATAGGGCTTCAGGGAAGGACCAGAAGCAGAGCTTTGCCTGGCTGCTGTGTATCTACAGATCTGGGGCCTAATCATGGATGCATAAAGCTAGAAACCTCACCTGTGAATTGAAGTATGGTGGCAGGGACATGGAGGTGTTGAGGATGGCTGTAAACATGCACTATTTTTTGTGAGTGGAACTGAGGAGAAACGTGTGCAGTGGCACAGAACAACTCTCTTCAGGCAAAGCTACATGGTGGTGGGGATGGTTAATGGGACTCTGGGTGCTTACATATGTTAATATCACCATGAAACAGAGCTGGTGACACATGTGTATGTAACTTCAGAGGCTGCTAAATATGGCGAGCAGTGGCTCATGACAGGTGTTGGAAGTGGTATTGTGCATGTGCAACTGCCAGTCCAACATCTGGCAGTGTGCATGGATATGGCTGCAGGTGTACACCCATCACATGGGATTGTGCCTCCAGTATGGGCTGCAGCCTTCATGTTCTCTTGCACAGGAAAAGGCTGTTTGGGGACCTTGGGTCTGGATTTGTGGCAACTATAGCTGAGGTTACCTTGGGTAGGCAGAATCTAGAGGTAGTGGTACAGGTGCATGGAGACTGTGAATGCAAACACCTTTGAGGCTTTTTGTAGTAGGGAAAGATGCAGGGTTCCTCTGTGGCTGTTGGTTTCCTCAGTGGCAAAACTACTGCAGTCTGTTTGGAGCACGCACCTGAAGTATGTAATGGCAAACCCTGAGGGACTATGAAGGCTAGAGTTGTTTACAGAAGGAGACAGTGCAGAGGTTGTGGGGGTTCTGGGCAGAGTAGCCACTGGGGACCATGATTTCTTCAGCTGCAAGTTGATCCATGTGTTGCACCACTTCTTCTTTGTTTCAGGTCATCTCCAAATAGCTCATCTCTTCTTCTCTGCTCAGTAATCTGGGTCGGGAGAAACCAAATCAGGACATTTTGGTACTACACTGGAAAGCCTAGGGTGATGGTTGTTACACTATTCTCCTTTTGCTTTTGAGTGGAACTGGTGGGCTGCTTACTCCCTCTTTGTGTTGAGCAGAGCTATGTCAGGGAGTGGATGATGCAGCAGAGTGACACTAAAATTGCTTTTGGCACAGTTATTCTGTTGTTTTCTTCTAATCTGTCGCTTTAAATTAAATGCATTCCTGAATTTTTCCAGATTTTTTTAATGGACATCTTAAGTCAGGGATCTCCTTTTCTGCCATTTACTGAATAAAGTAATAGGAAGAGTGCAGTATTTGTTTCCTGCTGTGGACATAGGCAGCTGTGCAATGGCAGAGAGGATGAGTCCTGCCCACCCAGGTCTGGGTATGCGGGGTTCTCACCTGCCCGCCATTGAGGCCCACCTGATTCTGGTGGGGCATCTCACTCACTGTATGGGTCTTGAGGGGTCTCAGGGGAGTTCCACCCGGTTCTTGGTGGGGTCTGTACAGAATAGCCAGGCGCTGATCACAGTACAGGGGGCGGACCTTCCAGGAGCCAATCACCTAGGGCCATGCAGATTGTGGAATGTGCATTTGTGTTTATCAGTGTCACCTGGCAACGACTGTTTTGACAGTTGGTTGGCAGATAGGTAATGGCAGACCTGCTTTGGTAGGCCACCTGACAGAGGTTGTTACCTAATTGTCTTTAGGATGGATAGAGCCTGGAGAAAGTTTGTTTATATAAGCCTAGGAATCAAGTTTTTCGGATATAACCCTCTTGGGAAGATCCACCAGGCTGCCAAAAATTGTGAACTGGGAAGAATTAAACGTTATCTGGGACGTGGATGTCATGTTGATAGCACCGATCATAAAAATAGGTAATAGGGTCTGGGAGGCCAGGGACTGAGGGGTAAGGGACCAATGGGCTGATGGAATTGAAGCCTGCTGCACTATCCAGGCTGTGCCAATGGGAGCAGAGCAGAAAGGATACCAGTTCTCCTTTCACCAGAATATTTGACTTTAATATCCTGTGGAGTCCTCAATATCCAGGACCTGCACACCTTGGAAGTTCAGTACCCAGGACTTCTAATGGGCAGCTAAACAAAACCAGATTTTTAACTGGTTTCCCAGACACTTAAAATTTCCCTATAAGGTCACTGATTTTTTTTAAAAAAATACACACAACAGCTTTTAATGTACACATTTTCAAAAGCATTGAAAAATTTTCAGATGCAATCTATTACCTGTTGTGTCCCAAGAGCCTCACAAGAACTCTGAATTGGGAAGATGGCATATGTTCTTTCTTCTTTTTTATATTTTTAAAATTCCTTCACACTAGTATATTTAGGAGTGTGTCTTCCACCTCTAAAAATAAGATTTTACTTATTTCTCCCATGCTTCACTCACTAATTTGTGAAATTCTTAGGATAACTTGGTGTCATCTTGATCATCTGCAAATACTTCATTAACTTCAGTTAGTGAAGTTAACTACCTTTAACTACCTTTCCACAGAGGACACTAGAGTTCACTGGCAGCTTTCACACTTTCCAAAACACCAAACACAGCATGCTTTTTCAATTTTGTTATCACTTTAGACTAAAGTAAAAAAGCATCTGCCAAAAGCTTCTCGCACAAAATTCCAAAATTGCTGATTCCACTGTTCCAGTACCCTTTCCTGTAGTTATCCGTTACTTTGTATCTGTACAAGCATGGAGAGTAGAGCATTGGTTGAGAGCATCCAGGCAGTGCAAGCTCTCAGTCACCAGGGCCAAGGGAATAGCACACAAAGGGTGCTTAGTCTGTACAGGGCTGCCTTCTGCTGCCCTACTGTAGCTTGCCCTACTCTGTTCTGAAGGGACTAAGAGTATCAAAGGTAGGTCCTGCTTGTGGTTTGTGCATTAGAATACTCATTGACCCCAAATGTGAGCTCTCTCTGTGGTTATCAATTTCACAAAAAAACAAATAAAAATATCAGTACATTTTTTAGTTCCACACGCAGTCATTTAGGGTCATGATGACACTAAGAAAATGTTTGCAATGAACAAAGACTTGCCATTCTGTGTATCAAAATACATTATTAACTTTCACAAATTACTTGTTTGCCAATGACCAAAAGATAAGTGACTGGAACAGGATAAAAAGAATACTCAAATATCTGGAAGAAGAGTAAAATGGAATTGGTAGGTAGTGGCATGCACAGTTTTAAATGTGGCACAGCAGTTATCATTAAATCATCTATTTGAGGAGCAATGAACAGCTCAAGCCATAATCAACAGCCCAATACCACTACTCTTCATCTTCAAAATATTGTAGCTGAGAAATTTATTTCATTTGTTAGACTGACATTCCTTCTATTGCCAAGGACATAAATATTTTTTCTATGTTCATATGTCACTGTCACTTGAGCATCTGTAAAATTAGAGTATTTTATCTGATTAAATTAGAATTCCAAGGTTGGAAATGTAGCTCAGTGTTAGAGCATTTCTTGCATGGCAAAGCAAAGGGTAAGGGTGCAATCCCCAGCAAAACAACAACAATAACATTGTCATCATCGTCAACATAATTTTTAAAAAGAGAGGTAGGAAAAAAAGAAGTCTTCTTTCAAATTCATTATTTCTTAGAACGCCTTTGCCAACATGAAGAAAGCATTTATGTTTTCTTCTAGTACATTTCTATATAGATGTCCTATAGTGCATTTCATCTATTGTAGATATTACTATACATACATTTCTTATATATGTATATTTTATTTTACATATGCAATTATAGGTTAATAATTTTGTTTTGGTGAGAATAGAAGAGAGCAAGTATAAAAGATTATTAGTCCTGAAAAAATATTGCTTTACTTTATAAAAGTTTCACATAAAAATACTAAACATCTCAACTTTAGTATTTTTAAGTGAAACTTTTATAAAGTAAAGCATTAAAGAATTATTCTTTAAGTCTATTCATTTGTACTCATAAAATGAATACGTTTTTAATGGGCAAGAACTGCACAGCTACTTATTTTGTATTTGACATATTCTACTATCTCAGAGAACTCTTACATAAAAACTTTCTAGGTGTGACCAGTTAATTAAAACTGACGTGATAGGACTCAATTTCAAATGAAACAGTTCTCCTTTTCAATCATGCATTCATGGAGGTAAGAAATTGTAAACGTCCCTTGTGAAAAATTAAGACAGTATTAAATACTGAACATTGAAAATACCTGATTCATATATAAATCCTATATATATATATATATATATATATATATATATATATATTGAATTAATTTAACCATACTAATTCATTTGGGTTCTTTTTCCTTTGGCATTAAGTTTGCTTTCGGTTTGGCCTTTTACTGTTATTATTCAGCCTACTTTACCTATCATACTTTTAAAACTGAATTTAAATGCCATCCATGTCATGAGAACTGCCATAAATCTATTGTTTGTCTCACATTTCACTTAAGATGAGGCACCATGAATTATGATGGTTCTTTATTTTGTTTATGAAGAAAAATTTAAATGCTGCCAATTATAGTTGTAATGCAGCCCGAATTATTAATGGGATTCCATTGTCAGTGTTGTTAAAATGATAAGAAAAAAAGTCATCTTAGACTCACTGAAATACATAGTTTTTAAAATATATTTTTAAAAATCACTACAATACTACTAACTTATTAATTGAAATACTCTTAGTTGATAAAAAGCAATAATATTGATTACAATAGCTACCAATTATGGAGCTGTTGCTGGTGCTACAAAATCTTCAGATGTTTTACATAGATTCTCCATTAAGCATCCTGGTAGTATTCAGGGAGATACTCATTTTAATCCTTACTTTTTTAGGAAATTGAGGGAGAGTAAGACTGTGGGATAACTAGTACATCACAGAGTCTAAAGTAGAATTCAAACTGAAGATGAGCTAAATCTCAAGTCCATCTTCTTTCTAGGCAAGTGGGCTGCTCTGCTCTGGGGATGTGGTTCTGTGGTAGAGCCCTTCCTTACCTAGAATGCTTCGGGCCTGGGTTCTGTCCCCAGCAATATGAAAACAAAGCAAACAAAAATAAGTAAAATCAATGGAACAAGGCACAGTCACACATACCCATGATTCCAGTGACTTAGGATGCTGAGGCAAGAGCATTGGAAGTTTAAGACCATAGTGGGCAACTTAGTGAGACCCTGCATCAAAATTGTTTATATAATAAAAATGTGCTTAGGATATGACTCATTAGTTGAGTAACCCAGGGTACAATCCCCAGCAGTATCAGAAACAAGAAATAAGAAGAAAATGTCAGTGGCATAGGCTGATCATTCATTAATAAAATAAGTATTGACAGCTACTAAATATTGTACCTTCTTCATAAGAAAATAGAGGAATTATGAGCTATTTAATGTTTATAATTGCATAAATAGTTGTATATTTCAAAAGGTACCTTATGAATTCCTAATAAAGCTTCTTACTTGCACAGAACCCCTCTACATTATGCCTGTGCTTATGGCAATCCAGCAGTGGTGGCTCTTCTAGTGAAGAGGAAATGCAGCGTCGACTTGTGTGACAGTGATGGCAACACACCATTGATGAAGGTAGATATACCAGTGGTTTTGCAGGAAATGAATTTGATGAAATGCTTAGAAGAAAAATTGGTTAATGCCATTTAGTTATAACTAATGAGTAAAACATGAGATATTTTTCTTGGATTTCCAAAATTTACAATCTATTTCTTGGTTAAAACCAACAGGCCCTACAATATGAGGAAGAGGAATGTGCAATTATTCTTCTAGAACATGGTGCCAATCCAAATATTCACAACAACAAGGGTGAAACTCCGCTCCACTATGTTATCTTTTATAGGAACACATTAATAGCAACAAAACTGCTTTCATCCAACGCAGATATTGAAGCCAAAAACACGGTATATACATCAATCACTATTATTTTCAAAATATTTAAAATTTTTCTTAAAATTAACAGTAATGCACGTTAAAAAATACTGATTATAAGCAAATTTTCTTTTTATTAAAATACTAGCAAATGTTGGAAGTTCTCCTCGTATTCTTCCTCCTTCTTTTGTAGCTCATGTGTGTATTTAGTTTGCCTCCATCAGTTGAATCCACACTTAGAATTCAAGAGACTCATGCAGAAATCTGAACTTCAAGCTTCTGTGAAGGAACCTGATGCGGTCCCCTTGAGCCATAGTACTGTGTGGTGTGGTGTGCAGGGTTTGCCTCCCACATGCTGGGCACACATGTTCTTCAGTTTGCTTCTGGCAACTGCAGCACTTACTCCAATCACCTACTTTGCCTCTATAAATGAGGTTACAACTCCTCTTTTTTAATATAGTGTGATAAAGATTTCATGGTGTTTTCTACTGATATACAAGAATATGGACTACATAATATATTATGACTCTCTTTCAAATGGGATTAATTGTTTGAATTTAGAATTTGGAAGTTAAATAGTTTTCTCTATATATACTATAAAAATCATGTTCCCACTGGAATTTTTGAAAGGCTGATTAGGTCACTCATTGCTAGAATGGATAAATTATTGCTAGAAGTTGATAACTCATGGATTTCGCCAGCTATACTATGTATCAGTCTTCAGCTTTGTTCCTTAAAAATGCAAATGTTTAGTGCCTTTCATGATGCTACAAGTAATCTATGTAGATCAGCATAAATCTTGATGATACACAAAATTTCTGAATTAAATTTTGCCTAAAATTATAAGTAACTTTAAGTAGCAATTAAAGTGGATGAGAATAAAAAGAATTTTGGAAAATAACCAAGCATTATGTTACCAGGATTGTCATTACAAGTAAGAATACATTTTCAGTGTTATTTTTATTAGAGTTTATAGTTTTACATAGTAGTTGAATTCATTCCCCAAAAATCTTACATGCATGGAATTCCAGTTGAGTCATTGATTCCCTCTTTTCCATCTGTCTACCCCTCCTCCTCCATTCTCCCCCTCCTATTCTCCTGGACCTCCTTTCACCTATTTATTTATATTTGGTTGATTCTTTTTACTTATACATAAGGATGCAATTACCTGTGGTATATTTATATATGCATATAACATGAATTTTAAAGATTTCCTTCTTCATTGCCTTCCCTTTTTCATTATCTCTGTGCCTCTCAATCTTCTTTTTCTACACTAATGATCTTCTTTACATCTTTTGATATTCTGTTCTTCATTTCTTTTTCTTTAATTAACTCCAGCTTCCACATATGAAACATTTTACCTTTGAGTTTCTTATTTGACTTATTTCACTTAGCATGATATTCTTGGATACCAACTCATTTACCAACAAATGACATAATGTATTTTTATGGCTGAGTAATACTCCATTGTATGTATGTGCACCAGAATTTCTTAATCCTTTCATCCATTCACAGGTACTTGGGTTAATTTCATAATTTATCTGTTGTGAATTGTGCTACTGTAAACACACATGTGACTGTATTAATATACAGTTACATGTAAAATTTTGTTTTACTAATTTTGGGAAAATACTGAGTCATGGGATAGCTGTTTCATGTTGTGGTTCCCTTCTTAGATTTTGGGGAATCTCCAAACTGTTTTCCAGGGTGGTTGTACTAGTATGTAGTCCCACCAACAGTGTAAACGTGTGCCTTACCCCCACATTCTTTTTTCTAACCAGGGAGAGAGAGAGAGAGAGAGAGAGAGAGAGAGAAAGAGAGAGAATTAATATTTATTATTATTATTTTTTTCATTTTCAGCGAACACAACATCTTTGTATGTGGTCCTGAGGATCGAACCCGGGCCACACGCATGCCTGGCAAGTGCGCTACCGCTTGAGCCACATCCCCAGCCCCACATTCTTACCAGTATATATTACTGTTTGTGTTCTTGATAATTACCATTGTGGCTGGAGTAAGATAAAGTCTTAGTGTAGTTTTTATGTGCATTAACATAATTGCTAGAGATGTAGAAGACTTTTTTTATGTATAGTTTGGAAATTTGTGTTTCTTTTGAGAAATTTCTGTTTAGGTCTTTTGCTCAGTTATTGACTGGGTGGTTTTTTTGTTTGTTTGGAGTTTTTAAAAATATTTATATTTTAATTCTTATTGGACACAATACATTGATTTTATTTATTTTATGTGCTGCTGAGGATCAAACCCAGAGCCTCACATGTACTAGGTGAGTGCTTTACCACTGAGCCATAATCCCAGCTCTGTGTTTGTTTTTTTTTTTTTTTTTTGAGTTGGTTATTCTCTTTGTTAATCCCCTCTCAGTGGATTAGTTGGAAAAATTTTCTCCAATTGCATAAAAATAATATATTTTTGTATTGAACTTTCTGACATGTAAGATAAATATCTTTCAACTTATAATAAGAGAAGACACAGGAACAATTATGAAAAAGAAACATAGTTTACTCAGACTCTATCAATTTTAAGCAGAAATTCCTTATATTGGAATCTGGGATTCTGATTTCATAAATAAAAAAGAATCAAGTGGACTTGTATAACATGGAGAAAACTTTCATGTCGCTGGAAAGCTCTCAGAAATATATTCCTGTAACTTCAATTGTTCACATGTGAATATCTCCAATAAAAAATCGGTGTCAAGTAGGTGTTAAGCAACGGAAAAGCTATTTCTGTACTACTGGACATACAATGCACAGTTGTGTAAATTTTCTCTAACAGTAAAACACGGAATCTTTTCTATGCAGCTTGGTATTTCTGGAAAAGTAGACGTTCTTCAGAATATGATTTATACACCCTACTAGTGAGTTGAGAATTTGGCTTGTTAATGAAATATAATACTTATATCCTTTACTAATATGTATTAGGGAATGGGGCTATTGGGATATAAAATACAGTTTATGTCCTAAAGATACTCTTGGTTGAGGAGGGTGAATGTTACATAACTCCAAGATGCCATGATGAATGCTTGACAGTGGCAAAGATCCATGGAAACAGTAAATGTATGAAGCAATTTTAGAAATTCTGGAGTTCATGTGGCCACTCTCGGCAGAGGAGAGGCATCTCAAAATGAAAGAGCAGCACGTATGGAAGCAGAATGGGAAGAGAAGAGAGTAGCTACTCTTAATTTACATTATTATTATATGCTTATGTTCATACAGTATTGTGTAAGGTTAACTTCAGTTGAAAAGTAGTAATTTTGTGAATAAACTATATTTGTTGTTTTTCAGAGTGGCCAAACACCACTTTTACTCGCCATAAAGAAAAACAGATAGATGATGGTAGAATTTTTTATTAAGAATAAAGCAAACATACATGAAGTTGATGATAAGGGAAGGTATAGTACTTTATGTTTTTTGGAAAAAGTTTAATATTATAGTAAAATCACTCAAGTTAAAAATATTAAATTAATGGGAATGACATAATCATTGGAATAGAGTGAAATTTATTAACATAAACTAAAATTAAGGAGAAAAGCAATTATTCAAACTGAGCAACACAAATAAGAGTATGTAGTATGATTCACATGCCCTTATAATTATTGGCTGATGATTACTATTTGATTTTGTTGATCACATAATCTTGTGTTAGCTAGAGTTTTCATGTTAGTTTTGTAAAATATAGACTTTTAGTTTGTGCTTTTATTCAGTATTGAACTTTTTAAATTTTCTGTAATATTTCATCTTCTCCTGGTATAGTTTTCTTTTGGAAATGCTGTGTTGAGTATAGATAGACATTGAAAATTATTTTTTCCTTTATATGACTATTTGCTTTAAATTACTTAATTTGTAGAATATTGATTTCAGATTTTTCCTAAGTGATGTCTAATTAGTCTTAACAAATTTTGAACATTTATAATGAAAAAGAGTGTAACATATGCTTGAAATCTGGTTGCAAGATTATACATGTAGCATTGATTTCAATGCCTGGCAAATGCTTCTCAGAGTGAATGACTGAAGCAACAATTATTATTATTATCACCAGTGCTACTGTTATTATGTTATACCTGCAAATACCTTTTTTATTCCTTGACCTTTGGCTGACTGTGAGTTACAATATATTACATCACTCTAAGAAAGAAATGGAGCTTTATTCATTGAAATCTTTGCCAACTCCAGATGAATGACCTCATCATAATTAATGTTCATTGAAGGATTTTAAGTTTGTAACTCTCCCCTTTTGGGACACGTGATTTATTTTTTATGTGTTTGTTTTCCTTTTAGACTTACAAATGATTTAGAAAGATAAAGATTTGATCTTCCAAGATGTATATGTCTGTTAGTGTATGTAAAGCTAGATGTCAAATTGGTAAAATGTATTACAATGGCTTTTTAAATAAACTTATTAAAATACCTAAATTTGAAGTTATCTCTCTTACTTTAGAACAGCCCTCATGTTGGCTGTGGAACATAAGTCAACACACATAGCTGAGTTGCTTCTTCAATGTGGTGTTAATGTGTCTGCTTCAGATAATTGTGGAGAGATTGCCTTGTCTTATGCCATTGCTAGTGGAAATACTGCGTAAGTATTTACATTACAATACTAATCAAAATTAGATGTATATCCACAATAGATTTCATAGCATTACTATGTATGGAACCGTAGTGAGTTAGGACAGTTCATTAGTCAGAAACCCTTCAAAGTCTAGCCAAGAAGCAGTGATGATATTTTGATTGGGCAAAGAGAAGGATGGAGGGGTAATGGAGGCAAGAAAGATGGTGGAGTGAGATAGACATTATTACCTTGGTACAGGTATGACTGCATACATGATGCAATGGTACATCCTGTAAAATCAGAAATGAAAGTTGTTGCAGTTGTGTCCAATGAATCAAATTTCACTCTACTGTCATATATACATAATTAAAATGGATTATTTTTTAAAAAATAAGTAGTGATGTGTGCATGAGTCACCTTCAAGGTTTGTTATCTCCTCTCTCTTCCCCTCTCCTTTCTTTTTTTTCTCATGCAATCTGGGAAATTTTCCTACCACTGAGATATACCACTAGCTAATATCTTAGGACTTTGTGAACCTTTATCCTTAGGGTTTCCAGCATTATCCAATTCATTTCAAGCATAACCCCTCCTCACAGGGACAGATAGTATCACACCTATGATTTTATAATTTGCTATTTGGGTCTTGAAATTCCCTGTTTAGCTGAAGTTAGCTATTTTACCATCCCCCTTTAATTTATCAAGGACCTAATGATATCCTTGAAGTGTAAGGAAGATAATTCTGTAGTCAGATGGAGGGGAATAAATAGATTTTTAAATTGTTCCTTTGTCTCTGTCAGTTCTGTTGCTGTGGTGTTTCTGCCAGACCTGGCCCTGCAGTCTGGTAGTGAAGAGCTTTTATTTCAAAATATCCTGACTGATCCAAACCCTGAGTCTTCATGGTAACCCACACTTAGACTCAGCACTCTTTTTAGTTCTCATGCACTTATGCTTTTTTATTCAACAGTTGTTTCCAAGCAGAAGCACTCTGCTTTGACAGCTTGGCCTCTAGCTTTGGCCAACAAATACTAAGCACTCTGACCCTGTCCCCCTTTTAGGAACCTTATGTGGAATCCCCATATTAGCCTTGCCCTTTCTGGTGCATTATCCTTTTAGGACTTTGTCTTTTCTGTCATAAAATTAAAATCATTCAAATCTATTAGAAAGCTTCAAGTAAAGCTTCAAGTAATCTCTGGAAGAGATCAGAGTTTTCTGTCATCTTGGCTAACAGATCTGTGCCCCAAATCCCTCCATCCCTTGAAATAGATTTCCTTTGACTGCAGGGGGTTCCACATCACTGTTTTCCATGGTGAGTGCCAATTTAGATTGGCACTTCTAGTAGTTTTCCCAAGTAATGGAAATTTCCAAGCTGTTGGAATCACTGCCTAAAGTTTTCAGCATTTATTAAGGTCTGCCTCAAAAGGAATAGATTAAGCAGATTCATTGAATCTAAGAGAACTAAGCCCCATCATGACTCCTCAGTATCCATTGTGTTAAAGAAAATTTTGTGTTCCAAGTCAGTTGGAGATCAACATGGAAATGTAGCTACACTTATCTGCTGATTCTGTTCAACTAGGTAGAGAAGAAATAGTAGTAGTCCAAGTTTTTGGCATTTGTTAATTTCTTGCCTTTGTTATTATTGATTAGTCTCACAGAAGGGGATGATTAAATTCTCTAATTTAAGGAGATTTATAAATAGTTATAAATTAATTGTTGATTTGCTTTGAGTTATAAAGCACAAAGAAGAGCCCAATTGATCATGAAAATTAGGACTCAAGCATTTTTTAAAATAATTTTAACTTTTGAATATTAGAACCTATGAAAAATGCACATTAGTTCTAGCTGAGATTGTAAGTAGATAAGTATGCCATTATTTTACTATTTTGCTTAACATGTTTCAATATTATCTTAGTAAATCTCCATAACAACCTGGTGAACTAAAGTGATACAACCCTTATTTTTTAAAAGGCCTTAAGCCTAAGAGAAAGAAGTTGTGCAAGAACAAAAACCTATTTTTTACAGAGACAGGGCATTTTCTGAGTTCAAGCTACGCTAGTTAATATATTTACCTGTCCTGTTCTCAATTAATGATCATTTCATCTTTTTTCTTCTTTAACTTCAAGCTATGGGTGCAGTAACACATGCATTTACCCCAGCTACTTAAGAGCCTGAGGCAGGACAATTGCTTGAGCCCAGGTATTTAAGATCAGCCTGACCATCATCATGAAATACCATCTCACAAAACAGAAAAAACAAACGTTGTACAAATAATTTTCAAGTTAACAAAATGTTTATAGGGCATACAGATTAGGAGAGCATATGAAAAAGTTCTGATACTAGATCTAAAACATTATTAAGTATTGAATTATATTTGGTCAGTGTTTTCATATGAGTGTTAAAATACCAATTTTATTACTTTTTTCAAATATAGAAACAGGAATTTAATTCTTCAATACATGAAAGCACAATCTAGAACATCAGTAAATTTCAATCCAGGTAAGACTTAAAAAATGAGTTACTCTTGGTGTTCATGCCCTGTGTAAATAAGAGTAAGAATGTTTGATCAAAAAAGAAGAGTGGAAAAATTTAAATGTTCAAATTCCATTCATATTTTTTATATCTTTCTTGTTCATATAGAATCCAGGATATCTTAATAATTAACTATAAGAAATTTATCATCTAAATGATATTGTCTGAAAAAATTTTACATTAATTTTGACCCTGAAATTTTATGTCTTTGCAGAAGTAAGAATATTTTTAAATTATACATTCTGTTTCGTATATGGTCACATGATAGCAGATTGGACTTGTTGTAAAACCAGGTGTTCCTGTCAACTGTTAATATCAGCTCCTATTGAGTGCCTACATTAGTGAATTTCACAGTGATATTTATATACACACATATACAATACTTGAATCCTGACCACTCTCCTTACTTCCATTTTCCCCTCTACTCCCTTTTTCATCCCCAGTTACCTTCCCTCTTCCTTAATGTTCCCTCCATCATTTTCTAGTCATTCTTATTTTCTTCCCAGATTCCACATGTTAGGGAGAGAATGTGATAATTGGGGTTTTGTTTCTGATTTTTTCACCTTAACACGATGACCATCCTTTCCATCCATTTTACAATTATTGTCTTTGTTTCTTTTTTAACATTTTTATTTGGGGTTTGAAATATACCATTTCCTGGGCCTTAAAATTTCTACTCAGAAATCTAATATTTTTCTGATGTGTTTATAATTGCTTTGGCCCTTATTATAGATTTCAGTGTACCCTTTTATAGACTATGATTTGGAGAAGTTCTTTTTGGGCCATGTCCATTTGGTATTCTAAAATCTTATACCTGGATGTCCATAACTTTCACAAGATATAAGGAATAGTTTATTTTATTCACTGAGAAAGCTTTCATTGCCTGTAGCCTGTACCTCTTCTCCATTATGTGTACCAGTGATTCATAAAAGTAGTCTATGAATTGTGTCTAGTGGTTTTGTAATTTGTTTACAATTATTTTGATTGTTGTTGATATTGTCTGAATGTGATATTTCATCATCAACTTCAAGCTCTGGTATTTTTTTTTCTTTCACTTGATCTAGTCTATGGATCTAACTTCAACTGGATATATTTATTTGAGGTATTGAGCTCTTTATTTTCAAAATTTCTAATTGACTCTTTTTCAAAATCTGTATTGAATTGTTCTTTCATGCCCTGCATTGTTTTCCTTAATCTACTCAGTTTTTCTTTGCTTCATCTTTTAATTAATTCACTGTTTTAACATTTTTTTGAATTTTATTCTGGAATTTTTGTATATTGCATTATCTTTGGAAATAGTTTCTAGGGTTGTTAACTATGAAACAGTCATGCTACCTTGCTTTTTATATTTCTTATATTTCTATATTGAAATTTGTACATCTTCAGGGATATATATCTTTTCCACATTTATTTGAGTGTCTGCTTAGGAAACTGTTTTCCCTGGATGATGTGTCTTATGCTATTGGTTAAATGTGTGATGTTGAATTATTTTCCAAATGGTGTCTCTATTATAGTTTCCTATGTCTTATCTGTGACTCCTGAGTGGTGATAGCTTGCACTATTAAGTAACAACTTTCTTTGTCAGTGTTGTGAGGGTGGAGTCATGTTAGTGAAATAGTGATATAGGCAGTAGAGTATC